GTGGGGTGGTGCATCTAATTTCGTTGTCCTGTAGAAAGGTGTACATTGGGCGGTCGGGGAGATGTGTTAATGACGGGGAGAGGGAACATTCTCTGTCCTTACGCTCCTCCCCGTCTGGCAACTTAGCGGTCCACTGTGACAGATGTGCATGCCCTGCAATGTTTAATGAAAACAAGATTTTAGTGTGACCTAAAACTAAGTATGCTCGGGAGATTGACGAAGCTTTTTTTATTGCCAACCATGGCGCCGGTATGTGCTTAAGTGTTCCGTCACCTGCCCTGGTTAGTGATGAGATGAATTTTATCAGAAAGGCGGGTAAATACGTGTAGCCACATGTCGGCTTGATTGGAGGATGACATTTTATCGGGGCGATTGATTCTATGTTTGTCTCGTTTCAAGTTTACTTGCTGAATGGCGCAGAAGTAAAACTTTCAGTAGTAAGTCAGGGCTGTGTTTTTATCCCTATTGAAAATTCCATCAAGATACGTAATTTGGGACACTGACTGCCAGTCAGCAGCCTTGGTGGAACGTGCCCTGATGGTCCATGAGATGACGTCTGACTGCCACTGCCATGGGAATTTCATCAACAAGGGCAGCATTTATATAAGAGTAAAGCCATACGCACTCATAAATATCGCCAAATGCCTCGACAAAACAAAATGTTCTAGAAAAAAAAAAAGAAAAAAAAGAAGGTCCACGGAGGATGGAAACCGCATCCACTTGCGTACAAATCGGACACCTTAACCCCTATGCTATGCCATCGCTTAGGAAACTCGATTTGGATATTCGTTTTATACGAGTTTAGCGGAGTACGTATAACTATTTCCGTCCGAAGTGCAGTCCGGACTGCATATAGCTTTACTCTTTATATAAAGCTCGAATTCCGAGGTGGCAATCTTAGATGGCTATGAAGCGGTTCACAAGCCGAGGTGGCTATCTTGCATGGCTTTGATATGGTTCGCAAATCCTTATAAATTAATGTAATTAATGGCATCAAAAATCAGAAAAAGTGTGTACCCGTCCTTTGTTTTTTCTCCCCTTTTGAATTTTGCTTTTTTGGGCAAAAGGGACATTCGTTTACAAACGGGACCACATGCGCCGTAAGCATGTTTCAAAGAAACGCCCTCGGTGTTTGAACCTTTCGGGACGACCGTATACACTTTAATTCACAAAACCTATGCGACTCCGTTGAAGCTAGAGAGCAAGCATGCATGCTACGACGGACAGCCCTTTCTTCCACGGACGAACGCGAGCAGCCCCGACACAGCGGCAAGGCCAAGAGCCCATGCCAGATAGAAAGGTATAAACTTTCTGGCCCAAGCCTCTCGGACCGAGTCAGGAGCATTTTAGTATTGCAGCGCGAGATTTCGACAATGAGCGCATCACTCTAAAGAATGCTTCGACTGCATATGCAATTAAGCCTTCAGCATGTTATGCAAAGCACTCGTAAATCACTCGCCATACTTCAGTTCTACTCACCTGCCATGTAGAGTACTTTCGCGTCGTCAAACGATCTTTTTGTTCGCGCGTCTCCGGCCCAGTAGACCTGGTACACCTTGTCGTCTTCAACTACAGCGCAAAAGTCCCTTACATCATCGGAACTCACCACAGCCTGAGTCTTCTCGAGTAGAAATTCTACTAAAACATAAGACATTGTAGAGCCCGGGCAGGTTCGACAGGTTGGAGCAAGCGAGCAAACAAAACGAGTCGAGAGCGATCGTTCATGGAAGCTCGGCGAAGCCTCTATGGGCGAAGCGAAAGTGGCGTGTTCGGCGTTTCGGCGGGCTTCTAATCAAGGTTGTCGGTCGGTTGCGTGTAATATCTCTAACATCAGCGGTTTTATGGGCTAACGTCCCGAAATCGTTTTCTCGTGCATGGATTATTTTTCATATTCATAGATTTGACGAAATAGTGGTATCCGAACGAACTGTGCGACCTTTGACCTTACGTCTGTCAACACGTCAAAGCTTTTTGACGTACAGTCAGAGACAGTCGATGTACAATCAGAATCGCCACCAAGACATCTTGATGGCATTTCGCGGCGGCCGACTGCCACCAGGAAACCATCAGAAAGCCCACAAGCGGAGTCTGACTGGAGCTTGACTGTCGGTCAGAGTAACTTGTTGGCCAATCAGACATGCTTGACGTAGTCAGGCACAGTCAGCGGTCCACTAGAAAGCATTGACTACCATCAGGGTTACATTGATGGATTTTTCATTCGGGATGTTTCCTTTTACTGGTCCTTCGTCTTTTTTGCGCTGTTTTAACCCATTCAATATGACCATCAACCAACTCGCCCAACTTTACACCTTGTTGCAAGGATAGGTGTCTTCAAAACTATACTCCGTTTCACTTGAGTAAGTGTAGTAAAAGCTACAAGAGCGAGCTCCGGGCATTCACGTTCCCTGCCAAGCACACGGGCTCGTGCTATGCAAACTACTTTCAAAGCCACATATATAAGTCACCGAAATATTCATGTCTCAAATGTCGCGTGTCGTGCTTTCTCCTCGAACTGGTAATCTCGCTTGATATAAAGCACAGCTGCCCCGGTGACTTGAACGTAATATTTTATGAAGTAGCTTAACGTAACGAAAAAGTGGGCAGTGTGAATCAACCTTATTTTACTTATTTATTTATTTGGAAATATTGCCAGACACCTAGACGGTGTCAAAGGGAAGGTGAGCGCGGTACAGCAAGTACACTGTACAATGTAGACACAAAAAGAATAACATAACAACAATAAGCTAAATCGGCAACGCAACGCAAAATGACAAGAGAGTACAAATATTGAAGAAAAAGCCCAGCCACACTCGAAGATATTCTAAACACAAAAAGCAAACTTATTCTATGATAATAAATGATTAGTAACTGCCGCGAAAGCAAGATGTAAGTTGATTAATAACGGTTATAGGTACCTTATTTCATTCATCAAGAGTGCGCGGTATGAAGGTGTATTTAAAAGAGTCCCTTTTAGATTCTCGCACTATAATGGTTTTCTCGTGTTTGTCGCGTGTCTGTCTCAATGTATTGTATTGCGTGTATTTTTCGAATGGAACTTTAACATTGCCATTGACTATGTTATAAAGAAACTTAAGGCGATTAGTTTTCCTGCGTGTTTCGAGCTCGGGTATCCTTGACAATGTATACAGTGTAGAGACGTAAGTCGGCCTGTCATAACGGTTATAAACAATACGCAATGCTTTGGTCTGAATTCGTTCTAGCTGCTGTATGTTTGTTGCTGTGTATGGGTCCCATAACAAGTCAGCGTATTCTAGTATTGGCCTAATTAAAGTTGTTTATGCTGTTAACTTTGTTTTGGGTGTACAGTAGGTTAGTTTTCTTCTTAAAAACCACAGTTTCTGTGACGCTTTGGCAACTATGTAGTTTACGTGCGCGTTCCACGTTAGATCTGACACAATAACAATACCAAGGTACCTGTATTCTCTAAGTGCTTCCAAGGGAACACCATTCACGGAGTATGAAATGGGCCTAGGTTTTTTTTTCTGGTAATAGTCATTTGCACACACTTTTTACAGTTCAGTGTCATTTGCCAGCTGCAACACCAGTCATAAATACAAGCAAGAGAGTTGTTAAGAATTTTTTGTTTTCAACACTACCTATATCTTAAAACAAATACAATCGTCTGCGAGAAGCCGGCACTGAATAGGCAGACATGTTGTCAGGTCATTTATGAATACCAAAAATAGCAACGGACCGAGTACTGAGCCTGCGGCACTCATGATAAAACTGGACCTTTGGGGGATGAAACATCGTCTATGTGAACGAATTGTTGACATTGAGACAAGTAGGAGTCCAACCACCGTAGAATCTTTTCATTTTTGAGCAACTGTCTTAATTTGTAAAGCAGCTTTGGATGCGAGACACAATCAAAAGCTTTCGCAAAGTCTAAAAAAATTACGTCAGTGTGTCCCCCTCTATTCATAACCGTTGCAAAATCATTTAGAGTATGGAGCTGCTGAGTCACTGTCAAAAAGACTTGACGAAATCTGTGCTGTTCTTCACACAGAGAAATATTGTCCTCGAGGTGCATGGATAGGTGTTTAAAAAGAAAATGTTCCAGTATCTTCCCACTCGAGCGAAATAGCGAGATTAGGCGATAGTTTGTAACACTTAGTTTGTCCCCGGATTTGTAAGCTGGGACAGCTTTCGCTGTCGTTCACCTCTGGAACTCTTCCTTGTTTTAGGCTACGGTCGTATATTGTTCGTAGAAATTTCGCGCACCACTTGGCATAGCGACATACACATATACCATCTGGTATACCATCTGGCCCGCACGCTTTCTTGGCATTTAAAGATAGGAGCGCCTCAAGTATGCCTGCCTCAGACAAGGCAACATCAGGGATGGTCAATCAATCAATCAATCAATCAATCATTTTATTTTTTCAAGTCAAATACAAATTCGACTTGAACGGTCCGCTGGCATAAAAGGCAAATAGGTTGCCTGACGTGGTGCCAGCGGCCGGCAAGGACGGCAAAATCCAGCGGCAAATACAAAAAAAGCAAAAAGCAAAAAAAAAAAAAAAGAATCCGCGCATGCAGAAACCCACAGTAACACAACATCGTGATAACACCCAGACATCATACAAGGCAAAAAAAAATACATATGCGTACAAACAACACCAGGAAGCACAATAAATCACACCGCCCGCCATTAGACATTGTTAGGGAGTGATAGAGAAGAAACACAATACGTAAATAAGACAGCAAAAAAAAAAGGCTTATAAAGTATACTACGTAAAAATGAGTATACGCATGAATTACATAGTACAAAGTACATAGTGTAAAAAATAAGTATAATGCTTGTGTATGGAAAGCATTCCACGATTAAAAAGTACCATATATTTTACGGTCGTCAGTCAAAAAGACAATCTAAAACAGTGACAAATAAAAAATGGTCAGGAAAAAAACTCCTTTCCCATAATTCACCTTTAAAACAATAAAAACACAGGCAAAAGTAAAAACCATTAGTATATTTATATTTACACAATACGTATCTCATGTTCGACCAAGAAGGAGCGAAGCTGTTTTTTAAAAGCCCCTGTGGTGCCGGCAAGCAATACGTTGTTGCCTAGAGCGTTTAAGAGTTGGGGTATTTGGAAGTTGATCTTTTGGTTGCCGTAATTCGTCCTAGTTCGTGGTAGTTTGTAAGCTGACTTTGCCCTTAGGTTATAGTCCGTTAGATTTGAGGGAATTAAATCAAAGCTATTTATTCCTTTTGCATGAACTAGCTGTCCAAATTTATAGTGGTATAGCCTATTGAGCGGTAAGATGTTAAGTTTTTCAAGTAATTCATTGGCATTGCTATCGTATTTTGCGCTGGCTACAATTCGTATTATGCGTTGTTGTAAACGAATGAGCCCATTATAGTTTGTTTTGCAAGTGGTACCCCATACTAGAAAGCAATAATACAGTTTTTGATAAAACAAAGTATAATATAGTTGTACTTTTAGCCAGGTAGGCAAGATATCCCTTGTTTTATAAATGGCTCCTATAGCTCTAGATAACTCTTTCTTGATGTTCATGGTCTGGGTAGTCCAGGATAATTGGTCATTGAACCATACACCTAAAAACTTGCAGTCAGATGTTTGTTCTATAGTGCAGTCATTTATTTTCAAGCGTGGCTGTCTGGCAATCTTTTTATTTTTTGCCCTGAATAGCATATATTTTGTCTTCTTAGTGTTTAGTTGCATTTTATTTGCCTCCAGCCAGCTCTTTAAAGTTCGTAAATAATTATTTGCATCGCGTTCAATGACGTCAATAGTAGTGCCAGAAAAAAAAAGACTGGTATCATCTGCGTACTTAATTAAACTTGGAGAGTTTGCGATGTTGACTATGTCGTTAAGGTAGATAATAAAAAGTAACGGTCCTAAAATGGAACCCTGCGGAACCCCATACTTAAGTGTCATGTGGTAGGAACAAATACCATTGATTTGTACATATTGTTTGCGATTTTGCAGAAAGCTACTTATTAAATCTAGGGCCTTTCCCCTAATGCCATAGTGAGGCAGTTTGTGTAATAAGACGTCATGATTGATGCTATCGAACGCTTTTCGGAAATCCAAGTATACTCCAAGTTTAAGCAACTTGTTTTCAAAATTATTTAGAATCTTATCTTTGATGTGCAATAGTGCATGCTCAGTTGATTTGCCTTTTTGAAACCCGTACTGTGCTGGCGAGAGTGCCGAGAAAGATGTTAGAAAATTTCGTACTCTGTTATTTATTAGATTTTCAAAAACCATCTGGTTAGGTTCAAACGCAGTGATACTACTATCGTGTTTCGTAAATGCCAAACTAAAATAATCATTGAATGCCTTTGAGATAGAATAATTATCAGATATTTCCTTGTCGTTTATCTTTATATTTTTTACGATACGTTTCCCACGAGATAGATAGCGCCAAGATTTTTGAGGGTCGCTTCGTAAAAAGCTGTCCATCGTCACATTGAAAAAAACGGTATCTGGCATTTTTTTTTATCATCGACCGCAGCTGTCTTCTAAGCGTCAAAAGCGGCACTTTTGCACTTGTTCTATTTTGTTATTTTTACACATACGCTGAACTCGACGTTTTAACTGCAGTATTTCTCTACTTATCCACGGACTCTCCCTGCGTGTTGTCTTTTTGCGGAGAAGCACAAATTTGTTGATGCAGGTAGGTGCTAATTGCTTGAAAAAATCCCAGAAGTCGGTTATATTCACATCACTTTCGTCACTCCCCCCCCCCCCCCACCCTCCCCCATGTTGACGAATTCATTGTAAGATTGGTCTGGTAAGTCCAAAATGTCCCCGTCCTGCGCCCTGCTAAAATCTCAAAACTATCTAACAGGCGCTTGCACGCTTGGGCGCGGAACGGAGGAACACTTCAGCCAAATCATATGATGGTCTGATATTCTCGGTACGATCTCACAAAGATTTTCAGACAGAGTTATTTTCTGGGATACAAAGATAAGATCAAGAATTGAACTGACTTCTTTAGTTACTCTGGTGGGTTCGTGTACTATTTGTGTGAGATTATAAGCAAACGATGTGTCAAGGGGTGCCTCGGAATGACAACAGTCGGTTGTTGAGCACATAGTATCCCAATCGATGTTTGATAGGTTAAAATCCCCGCCGAGAATGATGTTCAAAAAGTGTTTCGATTGCTCGCAGAGGAAGCTATGAAGTGCATACATATGTTTGGTACTTGCATTCGGTGGCCGATACATGGCACCTACCAACATCTTAGAAGAACCGGAAGTAAGATTAATTCAAACCATTTCGGCGAAACTAGAATCTTCTATCACGGAAAATACAATACAATTTCTTATTACAATGGCTACCCTCCTCCCTTAGAACCCCGGTCTTTCCGAACAATGTCATGATTGTCAGGAATTACTTCGTCATCTGATACCTTGTCGTGTAGCCACGTTTCCGTGATAATAGCTTGATGTGACTCAATATTATATATATCACAATTTAATCGTGGAGACGGCAGTGAGCGTTGTAGTCGTTCTAACCCGTGTCTCCTCGTGATGATCATTGTCCCGAGGGCTCGAGGAAGACGTTTTCTTGTTCTTCCGCAGCCACCACAGATACTCCCCTCGGTAGAAACGAAGTTATATGCTAGGCACATACATTGCAACTAAATGTTTTGGCACTGGACACTGCCATAAGGAATATGTACAATTATTTACACCGCTAGTGAAATTCTTAAGTGTTAATCTCAATGCACATGCAAGTTGCGTTTCACCGAATGCGATGGTTGTAACCGACTTGCTGGTTTGTTTGTGTTAAAGTATTTTTTGTAGCTGTATTCGTCTGTATAAGCAGGTTTCAATCTATCAGTCGGGAAGGTTTCATGATGGTCGCCCATGTCAATGGTGAAGAACTCCGACTTTCGGTTGAGGACCTTGAATGGACCTTAGTATGGCTGTTCAAGTGGCTTCTTCGTTCTATCGATGCGAACAAACACATGAGTGCAGGTGTCGAGGTCGGGGCTGATGAAGGAAGGGCGGTTCTTAATCTCTCGTGGTGCACATGGGCGAAGTTGCCTGAAATGTTGTCTGAGACGGTGAGCATAGTTTGTAAAATCGTGGGCACATCAGGTGACGTGTTGTGAAGAAATTCGCCAGTTAGACGTAGCGTAGTGCCGTAGACAAACTCAGCAGTAGAGACCCCAATGTCCACTTTGAGCGTGGAACGAATTCCTAGTAGAACAATGGGTAGCGCTTCAGTCCAGGGGATAAAGCTGTGAGCACGCAGTGATGATTTTAGTTGGCGGTGAAATCGTTCAACCATTCCGTTTGCGGTGGGATGGTACGCCGTTGTGCGAAGGCGTTTGATGCCAAGGAGTCGCATCAGTTCAGCAAAAAGGTACGACTCGAACTGTCGTCCGCGGTCCGTAGTGACTATTGATGGTACTCCAAAACGGGCAATCCACCCTGTGACGAAAGCTTGGGCAACTGTTGCAGCTGTCATGTCGGGAATCGGGACTGCTTCGGGCCACCGTGTAAAACGATCCACACATGTTAAGAGGTATGTGAAGCCGTTGGAATGAGGTAATGTACCGACCAAATCTAGATGAACATGCTCAAAAGTCCCGTAACTTGTGGAAATTTCGCGATGGCTTTATGGTATGACGATGGACCTTTGATTTTTGACAAGTTGTACATGATCTTGACCACGTTCAGATATCTGCATTCATCTTTGGCCAGACAAAACGGGTGCTGATAAGTTTCTGCATAGCTCGTATTCCGGGATGGGACAGTCCGTGTAGGGCATCGAAGATTTTCTTGCAAAATGCGGGTGGAATATAGGGTCGTGCTGTTCCCGTTGCAAAATCACACAGGAGCGAAATATCTGTGTACGGTATGTTTGTTTTCTTTAGGTGCAGAGATGTACCTTGGTACCCAGTGTCCTGGAGTTGGTGTTTTGCAATAGCCGGAAAATCAATCTGTTCGACGCCCGGTAGCTTCAAAGCAGTATCCACTCGTGATAACGCATCAGCAACCATGTTGTGCTTCCCTTTGATGTGCCGGATGTCGGTCGTGAATTCACTGATGAATGCCAACTGCCTTTGTTCTCTAGGTGTATAAGCATTGCCGTTCGACGTTATGGCAAATGTCAGTGGCTTGTGATCCGTGAGGATAAAAAATGTGCGACCTTCAACGAAATAACGGGAAATGTTTGACGCTGAGGTAAGTGGCAAGAAGTTCACGCCCAAATGCGCTGTAGCGGGTTTCTGTCGCAGTTAATTTTTTTGAGAAGAAAGCGAGAGGTTTCCATTGTCCACTCATGTATTGTTGTAGTACTGCTCCGACGGCTGTACCAGCAGCATCTACCATAATATTGGTCGGTGCTTCAGGCTTAGGGTACACTAGCAAGGTGGCGTTGGCAATCACAGTCTTAATGGTGCTGAATGCAGCTGATTCTGAATCAGACCACGTGAATGGAGGTTTGGAATCTCTTCAGCGGTTGGACGATTTCCGCGCAACCGGGCATAAAGCGACGGTAAAAATTTACCAGTCCCAGAAACTCTCTCAGCTGCCGTATGCTGGACGGTGGTGGATAGTCGCGAATAGCTTTCACCTTGTTGTCGAGTGGTCGAAGCCCCTGATTGTCAACACGGTGGCCTAAAAACTCAAGAGTTGGTACCCCGAATTCACATTTTGCGATATTAATAACGACGCCATGCTCATCTAAACGTTTGAATAGTTGATATAGGTGTCGTTCGTGTTTTTCGTTGGATGCGCTGGCCACTAGAATATCATCAAGATAAGCGAAGCAGAAGTCGAGTCCTCTAAGAACTTGGTCAATAAACCGTTGGAAGGTCTGGGCAGCATTACGTAACCCAAGCGGCATCCAAACGAATTCGAAGAGGCTAAATGGAGTTACAATTGCTGTTTTTTGGAATATTGTCAGGTGCGATGGGTACTTGATGGTATGCTCTGACAAGATCTATTTTTGAAAATACCGACATACCATAAAGATTTGCAGAAAAGTCTTGGAGATGAGGATTGGTACCGGTCAGAGATTGTGTTGTTGTTGAGGGCACGGTAATCTCCGCATGGTCTCCAGTCACCACTTTTCTTCGGTACTAGGTGTAACGGAGATGCCCAGTTGCTAGAGAAAGGTCGTATCAGTCCCAAGTCGATCGTGTGCTGAAATTCTTGACGTGCCACTTGCAGTTTTTCGGGAGCTAGGCGACGGGCGTGGGCATGCACGGGAGGCCCGGTGGTTGTGATGAAGTGTTGCACATCGTGTTTGACTGGTCGCTCCGTGTTGCATGGTTGTGTCAGGCTGGGGAAGTTTCCAATGATGGTGTCGTAGTTTGTCTTTGTCCTCAGACGGAAGAGTGTAGGACTCAGCAGTGGTGGATTAGACACGACACCGCGCACGCCAATTTGAGTGGTGGAGTCTAACAGTTTGTGGCGCATCATGTCCACCAGCAGACCGAAATGAGTTCGAAAATCAGCTCCAATGATGGGATATTGAACATAAAGACCCATCGGAGCGAACGTCGTAGTCCGAAATCTACAGTTACTGATTTCTCACCGTAGGTGGTGATGGCAGTTCCATTGGCTGCTAGCAGAGCGTTAGTAGTAGTTTCGATTTTGCGGTCTTCTGAGGTGGCAGGAATAACACTGACTTCTGCTCCTGTATCAATTAGAAATCGGACATGTGTTTGGCGATCAGAAACGAAGAAGAGCGTGAGCGGCCGGAGGACGAGCCGACTGAACTGGCCGCCGTCAGTGGTTGGTCCGGGTGTTTCCCTCAAAAAAGCAGGGGTTCTGGCACTGGCGTGCATAGTTACCAAACTTGCAATGGTACCAGCATATTTGACTGTTCGGAGACGATGTTCGTGGGCTGCCGCGAGAGAAATTTCTACGAGGCGATCGGCTGTCTCGTCGAGTCGAGAAATTATCTGTCTGATGCTGGTTTGTGCTGCGACGGCTCTGTGAGCGTGGCAGTCGCAGAGTTGTCTCAACCAAATGAGTGAGGTGGCGTACTTCCTCTCGGAGTTGCTGAACTTCTGACGTTTGAGTGCTGACTGGAACCAGTGCGGTAGTGGCCACAGAAGGTACAGCAATATCCAAAATTTTGTCCGCGAGCTCGGCTAAGCAATCCAAAGAAATGTCGCTGGACGTCGCCAAAATCATGCGCGCGTTACTCGGGATTCGTTGCAGAAAGAGTTCTCGCAGTATGGTGTCGTCGAAGGAAGCTGCCCGATCTCCGAGAAGTTGCCGCATTGATCTTAGCAATTGAAATGACTTGCGGTCCCCTAACTCTTCAGTTGTAAGAAGTTGTTGAAGACGTCGTTGCTCTGATGCCGTCGTGCGCTTTATGAGCTCTTCTTTGATCTTGTCATATGGGTGAGTGGCTGGGAGGTTCATAATAATATCCCGTACTTCTCCAGCTTCACTTGGTTGGAGGGCGCTGATTACGTAATGAAATTTTGTCTCTTGTCGTGATATGTTGCGTGTTGCGAAAAGAGACTCAATGTGCGCAAACCAGAGACCTGGATCTGCTGGCCAAAAGGACGAGAGCTTGACCGTCACGGCAGTAATGGCTGAAGGGGGCTCACCGGCAGCTTGCATGGTTTGTGTTCTTTGTCCGGGTCACCACTTGATGTGACTCAATATTATATATATCACAATTTAATCGTGGAGACGGCAGTGAGCGTTGTAGTCATTCTAACCCGTGTCTCCTCGTGACGATCATTGTCCCGAGGGCTCGAGGAAGACGTTTTCTTCTTCTTCCG